GACCATCTTGCTCACAGTGATAGCAAGTGATGTGAGGGAGGCGCACAGCCTGCACCAGCAGCACCCTGTGCCGCCTCCCCAAGCCCTGGAGGGAGCAGCACACCAGCTGGGAAGCTGGTGACAGTGACTTGTAAGGTCACTGGGCACTTTGCAGCAGGCCACCACCATGAGCCCCTTAGCCAGAGCAGTGCGATCATGCCACTCTGGTCAACATGCTTGTTGTGAGACTTCCTACTCCCCATTGGGTTGTGTTGTCCAGATCTGGATGACACAGCCAGCCATGGATGGTTAAGCAAATCCTCCAGCAACCCATGGCTTGTCAGGGAGGTGTAGAAGCCAAATATAAGCCACCTCAGAAGACAGACAAAGAAGATGGATCCTTTCAGACATGCTGTAGGCCTGTTGGTTGTTACATACAACTCTTATACCAGATAAAATTAGAGTGCAAGAACATGTCCTATATACAAAGATAGAATTGCACTTGGAAAGGAAGTTTCTATAGCCAAAGTGGTCCTCTTCTTCCTTTTTTCTTTTTGCTATGGATGTACTGAAAGTATTCTTTCAAGATGCATTTTCTCTTTGATGATGACAGATTAACTCCCTGTAACTAGTCATAAAATTTGTCCATTGAAAAGCCATGAGGCAAATGTATTGCCATTTTATATCAGCTAAATTTCTCCCACACACTACTTTTTCTTGAATTTACCACAGCAACAAGACGTTACTTTTGCTGGAAGGAATGTCAGAAGGCACCAAAACCTGGTCCTAAATCTAACAACCCTGAAATAAACCAGGTTTTTCCTTTTGCTGAATGGATTAAAATGGAAAGTTAGAAATACATAAATTAGGAGTGAAAGGTTCAAACAAATTCTCTAGAGAAGGGGCAAACCCCCTTTCCTATCTGTGGAGAGAGAAACTCTTGTCTAAAGCCCAATTTAACTTTGTATAAATAATTTATATAAATGCATGTGTGTGTGTACAGTTACAAATCTGATAAATGTATAAATCACCTTATATTATTTTTGTAGGAGGATATTTATATACATTTGGGGGCCATGAAAAGGTTGTGGCAAATTCCTCAGCAGGGTTTTTGCCCAGTGATTATATACTACCAGTCTGTGGTGTTCTTCTATTAATTACATTGTTTGATCACAGGCTATTACTTCTTACTAAAAAAAATAGCCTGTGTGTCTCTTTCTCTGTGTAAATATTCGTAATTGTAAAACAAACCACTGCATTTCAAGAGTGTTCCAGGGCCAGAGGTTTCCAGTGTCATTCTGCTAATGTGGCAATAAAGTATGTAATTAAACTGTAGTGCTTGCAAACAATCTGAAAGTCCTAGTCAGGACAGGAAGCCAGCCATGACTGCCTGCAGCACGCATGAGCACAGATACACCATCTTTGCACACTTTTCTTGCTACAGAGATTTCCCTATCGCCTGAACACCAGCAGAATGGGTGGGAAAAGGCTTTCCTTGAATCCAGCTGTTTGAGTGAATACATACTGTCCTCTCAGGCTGTATGGTGGAGTTTCAGGCCCCACTTTCAAAGACCACCCTCCATGGAACCAGAATTGCTTCCTTTCTCAGACAATACAGGCATCCTAATAATGACTGGACTAAGCGTGCCCCCAGAGGAAGCTGCACATAAGGTCACAGATAGCCCGAAAATGAGTTATAATACTGCTGACAAATGCAAGTGCTTTTAAAACAAAAACAACTCTGTTGTTTTCGGATACCTATTGCAGCTGTGCTAACTGGCATTTCCAGTTCAGCAAAGCGTGTTATCAGCCCTCTCCCTTCAGTGGATTAACTATGGCTGACAGCAAGGTGTTTTTTCAGCTCTTTGCCACTTGCAGTCAAAATGTCAGCCAAGGTAAGACTCATACTTTGCATGAGGTTGAATGGCCACCATCCCTCTATCAAAAGCTGGCCAAATGTTTGCAGTCTTCATGGCTGTCCACTGGTATCTTGGACCATGTGCCATTTCTTTTAAATGCTTCTTTGCTGTCAGGCCATGTGCTTGTTACCAGGGCTCTACAGACCTTAGTTTTGCAGGCTAGAAGGGGATGGCCATGTGTTGCACAGCGGATATTAACCTGGATTCTAGTTGTGGTTTGTGCACCGTGCAGAACAAGGGAATGAAATGTGTCGTCACTAATAATCATGAGCTCTGTGCTCCAGGAAGGGGCCTCATTCAAGGCTGCTTGGACCAGATGAACCAGATAGCAGACTGAATCTGGCCCGTAGGCTAGAGATCCCCCATCCTCGCTCTAGTGGCGTAAGGAGAGTCTCTCTCCTTTTGCATGCCGCAGCACCCACTCCAGGAGCACGGGCGCATGTGGCAGTGGCAATGCAATCTATGAGGCTTCACAGTGGGGAGTCATTGGAGGCTACCAGGAAATAGATGGGAGAGACTGACCACGGCTGCTCTGGACTCACAGAGCTCCAGTTGTGAGGAAAGAGTTAGATGGGTCTTAATGAAATCTTCAAGGTCCATTCCATGCCAGTTTTAGCCAAATCAAACAAGAGAATATTCTAGAAACAGAGCTGAGAGGCCTCTCTAAAGTGAAGCCATGTCTCTTTGACCACCTTTTCCCTTTATTCAAGTGCTAGACATGCATAAATCTGGATAGTCACTCTGGGTAAATGAGGCAATACAGAACTGGAAATCAGACCACCCTTCTCACCTATATACATATTCAGACTGATGACAGAAAGATTCAAGACAGGAAGCCCAGGGAGCAATGACAGGTCATGTCCCCCTGTAGCCTTCTAAAATGGTAGTTAAGGGAGGTCATCATAAGGGTAGTGGAACCAAGCCTCCCTCCCCCCACAACTTCCCAATACTTTGAGAACTGCCTATTTAGGTATTATTTGTTTTAATGGCATGCCTTTGTCTGTTGTTTATCTGTGTAGTTTGTGTATGGCTTTGTCTGTAGTTTGTCTGTGATGTATACTCCATTGCGTGGTAGATGTATGCCACAAAACTGAACAGCAAAATTGTGGTCAAGGAATTATGGCTGCTTCTATCTAGTTGGGTGCAATTATCAATACAATTTATAATTACTTTTCTATAATGCCCAATAACCAAAGCTCTTTGGGTGGCTCACAACAATTAAAACTCTAAAATATGGCACAATTAAGCAAAATATAAAAGTTTTAAAAGACAGCATAACATAAAATTGAAATTAAATAACATAAAATAAGTATAATCAAAAATAAAAATAAAGTAATAATTCTCTCTCTCTCTCTTGCTCTCTCTCATATATAGATATATAACTGCTTCTAGCTGGTTGGATACAATTATCTATCTAAATATTTTATTTTGGTTCTTAATACGTAAAAAAACCCATCAGATTTAATGTGCAAATCTGGCCTTGAAAAGCAGCTTCCATTCATTACATTTAAGCCAATCATAGGAAGAATAACATTTGATGGAGGAAACTGAATTGGCTGGCAAGATGTCAACAGGCTTGACTTAGTCCAATCATACTGAAAGCTGGGGCAGCTCAGAAGTTCATGGCTGCCATAACAACCATTGGGCTGCTTCAACATGTCATCAGCCCAGTACACACTTCATTTCGTTTTCACAAGTGGACCAAAGGATGGTGATCTGAAAGCAGCTGTAGCAACTGGGCTGACTTCTCTCAGTATACAGCATTCCAAGGTAGAAAGCTCAGGCTGTGAAGATGAGCTATGTAGAGACGAGGGTTCATTTATTTATTTTTTATTTTATTAAAACATTTTTATGCCACCCCATTCGCCGAAGCCTCGGGGCGGCTCACATCATCAAGTTAAAATAATTATAATATAAATTAAAAATATAAATATTAAATTAAAATAAAACAATACAGTATAAAATAAGCCGCCCTGGCCAAATAAAACCAATAATGTTAACAGTTAAAATGGCGCTTGAATAAAAAGG